GCGTGTCTCTTCCAGCGTGACGTTGCCGTCCTCATCCTTCTCGACATAGGTGTAGGTCTGGCCACCGGCCAGCGGGTATTTGAAGTGCCACATATGGCCGTCGACATCTTTATTTTCGACTTCAAGATTCGAGATCGCGGTCTGGAAATGCGGGTCCCAATTGACCAGACGCTTGGCCCGGTAAATCAGGCCTTCATTGTAGAGATCTACAAATGCCTTGTTCACCGCCACGTTGAGATCATCATCCAGCGTGAATTTGGTGTTCTCCCNTCCCAATCGCACGACGCGCCGAGGCGTTTCAGCTGATTGAGGATCGTACCGCCGGATTCTTCTTTCCATTCCCAGACCTTGTCGACAAAGGCGTCGCGGCCCAAGGACCGGCGGTCTTGATTGGTGCCGCTCGCCGCCAATTGGCGTTCAACGACCATCTGCGTGGCGATACCAGCATGGTCCATGCCGGGTTGCCAGCGGACATTCTTGCCGCGCATCCGTTCGAACCGGCACAAGATGTCCTGGATCGTATTGTTGAGCGCGTGGCCCATATGCAGGCTGCCTGTGACATTTGGCGGCGGAATCATGATCGCATACGGCTCAGCAGAGCTGTCCATGCTGGGCCGGANCGTGTCTCTTTAGCAGGGATAAAAGCGAGGTCTAGCCAGCCATGCGTGCAATTCGCTGCACTTCAGCTTCGACTTGCTTTTCAACAATGCTTGGCAGGTTCTCGTCGAGCCATTCTTTCAGCATCGGACGCATCATTTCGCGTACCAGACCTTCAATCGTTGTGGCACCGCCAGCTTCTTCGCCAAACTCGACATTTGAGAGGAGTTTGCCAAGGGCGCCGGCTGCCGCAGTAACAGTGGCCGTATCGGTGAGCGGAGCTGCAGTGGCTGCCATGGGTGTATCCTCTTCAATCTCTGGTTCTGGTTGAGGCTCTGGCGCGGCTTCAGCGACGGGCTCAAACGTATCTTCAATAGGTTCGACTTCGACTTCAGCGAAATCCTCAACCCCTTCGAAAGCATCATCATCAAACGCTTCAAAACTGTCTTCTTCGATCGCAAAGTCGAAGACTTCCTCGTCCGCTTCAGGAGTTTCGACGGTGTCGGTCTCAGCTTCCAATTCGGCTGTTGCTTCCTGCATCGACTGACTGATCGCGGCGAGCACATCTTCTTCTGATTCGATCGGGGCTGCGTCAGCACTCAAAATATCTTCGTCTTCAAACATGCCTGAATCATCGNTTAGAGTTCTAGTCGTCCCATAGCACGAAGCAGCTGATGCGTCGCCACATATGCGTCGCGCCGGGCATTGACCAATCCAAGGCGCGCTTCGAGCAATTGTTGCTCTTGATCGAGCACATCCAGAGTTGTTCGTGTGCCGACGCTCAACTCTTCCTGGGCCCCCTCATAAGCAATTTCAGCGGCTTCGACTTGCAGTTCTGACGCTGTAATCGCCTGTTCTGCAGCGATATTCCCGAACCAAGCCTGCGCGATGCTGGCATTGACCTGCCGCTCGGCATTAATCGTCTGCAAGCGAGCTTGTTCGCGCTCCAGACGCGCCGCACGAATACGGCTGCGCAAGACCCCGCCCTGGAATAGCGGGACACTCGCCTGAGCAAATACGCTGACACTTGTGTCGCGATA